GGGCGCAGACGCCTTTTTTTTTTTTTTTTTTTGCCTCTTTGAATAAACCGCATGAAAGGATTCCATCTCTCCTTTTGTCATTCGTAAAGTAGAGCTAGCCACTGAAGAACGACGAACCCCTCAACTTGCATATCTGCTGGGAGGCAAGTTGTTGTTGTTGTTGTTTTTTTGTCTTTGAAACCGCCAAGTGGGTAAACAACATCAGCGGCGGCGAATTGATGGGCTCCAGAGCACAGTGGTCGGTCATGTCAGGGTTTGAAAAATGACGCAATTGGCTAAATGCACAACTATGGCCTATGCTCTTCTTGTTGCTAGCGTATCATGAGCTAAAGGCTATCTGTCATGTTCGGTTTAGTTACATTCGACGGGACTTTAATTTTGGCGACACAAACCGGAAGTATCTTGTCATGTTCCGTTTTAGTTAGAACCTAGGAGACTTTAATTTTGGTTCCATAAACCGGAAGTACCTCGTCTAGTAAAGAACGCATGGCTTCGTGCTAGTTGTTGTCTTCGTTTCTCGTTCTCTTCTTGTGTATACGCCTCGGAAAGCATCGTCTGAATTTATACGATGTCTACTAAAACCGTTGCTTTAATTCTAGTCTTGAAAATATGTAATATTAAGAACGTATTTCTGTCCGTTTTTTTTGCTATGCCACGTTAGCGTTTGGGCTATCCATACTAGCATATGGGCTATTGCATGCTAGTCGCAGTTATTTTCGATGCTAAACATGCATATTTTCTGTTGTATTTATGATACAATAAGCCAAGTTTACATTAGTTAAATGTACAGTGATGACACAGAGACATTTATTTTGAATAGTGTTTAATGAAAACGTCCTCCTTTTGTGTTTCTGTTTCTCTGTACAGTTTTACAACATAAGGAAAAAGAAAACTAAAGCTCCATTTCAACGTTTTGGAATCTTGGTCTTTTTTCGTTGTTCGCTATCTGTCTTATCTGTTCACGTCCCGGACACGGACAAGTAGGGCAGAATACTATCCTTCCTCAACAGTCTGGTCCAAACAGGATTTTTTGTTTGGTCATTTTTTTTTTTTTTTGTCCTTCCTGAAAAGATGTACAGATGCCGCCTTCATGGAAAGTTGGACCCATTCGACGACGGAGCACGCTGTAACATCCATGCCGGGTCACTAGGTGGCAATGTGGTCGTTGGAATGGAAACTTTGCCGAAGAAACATCTGTTCGGTCCACGACGTACTATCGCAGTTTGCGTTTCTCGGCTCCGCGGCGCGACGGATACAAAGGAGTTCATTCGTTGACGACGGCTGAATTTTACCGCCCGCGGTTCGTTCGGCCACCCGCCGCTCGAGGCGCTCGAGACCCTTTTCCTGATGAAAAGGCTCGACCACCGGTTGCTACGTTGGAAGAGTTGTGAGTTTGCTTTTGAAGCGTCGAGCTTCCTCACTTCTGCCGAAGCACACGCCCGCGTTTCAAATGCGTCACCACAATGTTCCCAAATGACGTTTTTTTTCTGAGAAATTTGGCCACTGAGGAATTGAGTTGTAAAGTACTATATTTTCATCAGAAGTGAGTATTTGATTTATTTAGTCATCGTCGTCATGATGAAGATGATGATGAGCGCTCTGACAATCAAGTTGCTGCGTTGACATCATTCCTCATCGGTTGGACAACGTTTCTCTGCACTCTTTTTTTTCTTTGTGTAAAGAGTCACAATTACCACTTCATCCCATCCCAAAAAATGGGACCAAAATAATCTGACCAAAAATGAAGAAACGGCTACCTGGAACGGAAACCAAAGAGTAGGTCAGTCACCGCATACGTCCGGGCCTCCAGGTATATGATGGTAAATATTTTGGATATAAGAGAAACTTTATCGGTCCCACCAGGTGTAAATTGGCCCCGTTTCGCCAGCAGGAGACAATAGAAGAAAACGAAAAAAGGGGCATGTTGGCGGGGACATTTGTTCAAGACGGACAGAAAGCAACAATTTGTCTTCTCCAAGCTATCGAGAAAAAAAAAGTCCCCAAATACCTGCGTGGCAAAAGGCCCTCGATGGAATAATGGCATATTAAATGGCGCTTCTGATATGGGGGGGGTGCTGAAACGGCAATTAGGCCCCTTTTCACAATGGTTCCAATTTAAAACCGGTGTTGCGCTGGATAATAAACCGCCAGGAAGATGATGCAGTTGCGCACGTCGGCGTGCGGCTCGTCCCCGGGCGGCCGCTTCTGTGGGGGAGATAATGAGGTCCTTCGCGGTAGCTGGAGGAGGCGGCCGATGGAGTGGGAGGGCACCGATTCAATCTCGCTGCATTTTTTTTTTTCCTTCCTCCCTCCCGTCTTCGTCAGCATTGTGAAGCGCTTGAGCCGTATCGCCCGCCCGCGGCTCACCGGGAACGCCGCGGCCATCTCTCTTTCACATTTGTCCAGCGTAATGTATATTCATCGCCATCGATTTAGGGGCCGGGTCATAACAACAACAACAACAACATCAAAAAAAGACAAATATTTTCACTAACATTAAATATTAAAAAAAAAAAAGAAAAACTAATAAAAACGGACAAACTTTGACTTAAGTTTACATAATTATCTCGCGGGCCGGATTAAACTCCTTTGCGGGCCGGATCCGGCCCGCGGGCCGTATGTTTGACACCGCTGGCACTAAACGAAAGACAAATCACGAGATTGAGGAAAAAAACGAGACTCAAATTGACACCCAAAGCACATGGAAGTGGAATCATTGTGTTCCCATTCGACTGCAAATGGGAATTGGCAAACTATTGGAATTGGCGTGCAGGCGTTCCTTCCGGTCGATCTCGTCTGGTGTGGCATGTCTGGGCCTCGATGGCTCTGGTGCTCAGGGCCTGCTCCTGTGCCGTCCTTCAGGCCAGCCCTCTCGCGCCACCCGGAGGACTTCTTGAGATCAGCCACTTCAGTTGCGGTCCGGTGGGTACATCCCAAGTAGGGGCTTGTTCTCCCATCATGGTCCTCATCCTCTGTCGCCCCTTGTCCGAGACGTTCTCCGAGTACCGTATTTTCCGCACGATAGGGCGCGCCAAAAAGTCTTCCATTTTCTTAAAAGCTCACCGAGCGCCTTAAAATCCGGTGCGTCTTGCGTATGGTCATTACGGTAATACGTCGACTCCAAGATGGCCGCCGGCTCACGAATGAGGCAAGCAAGCTTTCAGAAGTTGCTTCGGCACACCGAGACGGAGTCAAATCAAGGTAGAATATTTCGACATTGCTCACCCCCTTTTTTTCGTCCCCCCCACAAAATTCCTTTGGTACCATTTCCAACAGCACAAAAACGTCCTCCGCGACACCGTTTTTCGTCGACAGTGACATATTGGAAGAAATGCGTTGCCGAGGATAGGCAGGAAGCTTCACAGAAGCAGAAAAGAAACCCCACAGGAACAACATACAAATGAAACCGCAGCATGGCACCTGGGGACGTGCAGAAACCCAGCAAAGTGTTTCATCCCTCCCACCCTTTGCGCTCCCTCGCCGGGCCTTTTTGCCCGCTCATCTACGTAGGACAAGTGGCGCGGTGTCCCAAGCAATTCACGGAACAAGATGAATGCGCGGGACATCCGCCGACGTGCCAAGGCGCTCGTCGCTGACAAGTTTGCCGGCTGCACAAAGGCCGGACCCGCGCCGCTTGGTTTCCTTTCTGGATCCAAAAGCGCGGCTAAAATTGGAATCACCGTGACAGCGCCGGCGTTAAGATGGATTGCTCCGTATTAAAAGGCCGCCGTCTCTTCACTTTGCCGAATCAAACGTGAATTCATATTTGTGACAGACAGCTGACCCGGGCGGTCCGCGAAAGGAAGAAAAGGGGGGCCGGTGGGGGGGTGGCGCAACGGTGCTTCAGACCGGGGTAGCCGTATCCAAAGGCTCTCGGAAGGAGGCTTGATCGAGTGTCGGCGGCTTAACCGACCGTGCCAAAGTACGCCTCGCTCCTGAAGGACAAAAGGGAGGGTCGGCGCTCGGGGGGGGGGGGAAAGCGCCGACGCCATACCTCGCGATGCCCTTCCCGCTCACCCGGGAGGCGAGCTTCCCCGTTTGAATTTGCTGACGATAGCTTGTCCGCGCGCCAAGGAGCGATTCCCGGCACAACCCCCGGCCATGAATTAGCAAACAATATTCCTGCCGCTGAAGGCTGAGCTTTTGTCGGCTGAACTCGCGCTGCATGCGGTTGAGACGGAATTGATTCGGTTCGGGGTACACTTTGGGAAGTCTCCGACATGTCAAGGCAATGTGTGTTCGCATGTGGACGCAGACACCGAGGTTGTTTTCAATGAAAATTCATGAAAAAAAAAAACGACATTTGAGCCCTAAAAATGTGTTGACAAAATCAAATCAAGACGAGAATGCTTTGGGGGAAAAAAAAACAACAACAACAACAACAACTCGATGTTATGTCAACTGAACTTCTTCTATCTTATATGATAGTTGCTTCATCATGTGCAGCACTTTGAATGCAGCGATGGCCGTTTGAAAGTGCTCTAGAAATACAGTTGAATTGAGTAAACTGCCTAAAACGAACTATAATTATCCTACACACGTCCTTCGTTTTCGTCTTTTGTCAATTTATTGACGACTTGGCCCCTTGGGGTTGACGTTTCAAAACGATTTTGACACGACAGCTTGGCCGTGGGCCGTACGAAGGAAGGGCGAGCGGCCTTCCGGGAGTGGGTGGTCCTTCGGACTCTGTGTCGCATGGGAGTGACGTCGGCTTGAGGCAGCGGCCAATAACAACTTGCCGTTAAATGACGTAGTTCTCGGCGACAGGAGCGCTTTCTAGTTTGACGTGACTGTCGCACGTCCTTCGTTTTCGTCTTTTGTCAATTTATTGACGACTTGGCCCCTTGGGGTTGACGTTTCAAAACAGAGCGATTTTGACACGACACCTTGGCCTTCTGGGAGTGGGTGGTCCTTCGGACTCTGTGTCGCATGGGAGTGACGTCGGCTTGAGGCAGCGGCCAATAACAACGTGCCGTTAAATGACGTAGATTCTAGGCGACAGGAGCGCTTTCTCGTTTGACGTAACTGTCGGACTCTGCCCGTGTTTTCTCTTTTGTTGTTATTCATATATGTAACATGCAGTACGCTGGACTGTGTTGAATCCTATCCAAGTCCCACATCCACTTTAAACGTTTGTCAACGTTGGCAAGCAAGGGCGGGAAAGCGAGAAGGCCATCCTCGTTTCGATGTTCGGCTTGGGATGCATCGAACTTGAGTAGTAAGGGGTATACACCGCACTTCAACTCAAAGTCTGCGGACCCTTAGGCGGTATCTGGGTGAGGTTTGTGGATGGTTGTTTGGAAAATGTTTCTGTTGAAATTTTCTCCTACACAAGACTGGGACGTTTTTTTTTTTTTTTCATTCTTGCACACAAGAAAGACGCATGGTTGAAACAAAAAAAAAACGATACTAGCAGCTCTAAAAATGGAATTAAAACTAACTAAATCAAAAAAAAAAATCCAAATGAAATGAAAATTCCAAGACGGTCACTCACTCACTCCTTCCCAGCCAGCCGTGAGGTGGCAGGCCAAGTGCTCTTTTTTTTTTACTTTCGGGTGCCAGACAGAGCCTGCTCTTTACATAACATGCAACATGCGGGGATTATTAGTATTATTATTATGATATTTTTTTTTCTTTTTAAGATTTGCACGTCCTCCGTACGCTCCAAGGTGTCGGCAGCCGTCATGCGTCGGGCATGCCTCGATGCTCGAGTGACATCTAGTGGCCAACTTGGCGACTGCATCGTCAAGTTGGACGGCCTGATCTTGTCGGACGACCCCCTCCCGCGGCCTGCAGGGAGGGAGACCCCCGAGTGGAAGAAATGCATCGAGGACACAACTACGACAAGTAAGCACTTGGCAGCTTTCTCTGCTTACTTTCTACCTTGATGCAATCGGGGAAGATGATTTGTTCTTTTGTTTTCGTTTTTTTTTTTTGTGGATCAGGTTCACGGCCCCCAGACGACCCTCTGGGACGCACGGCATGGTCCCAGTCTTGACAACTTACTCAGGACAGAGCCGCTACCGGCAATTCTCCACGTTCTCTCCGCGTGCGGAACAAAAGAGCCGGTCCGCTGTTCCGGAACCGGGACGAAAGCCACGCCGCTGCCCCCGAATCTCACATCCGGCCTACCGGACGGACCCTCCTGCGCGGCACCCCTGAATAGACCTGAGCAGCGTGGATTCCTCCGGAGTGGGAACGCACCCCGCCGAGGATAGGAGAGCCTGCCTCGGCCGCCCCCGGACTCGGCTTTTTGCGCAGGTAAAGCTTGTCGGTGGGATTGAGGAGGCCTTCCGAGTATTCTCCGTCCCCAATTCGCAACGTGCCTCCTTTGAAAAAAAACAAAATAGCAACGACGATCTTGCCGGCGTGACGCAAAACGCTCGCACGCCAACGGGTGTCTTTTGTGTCGCGTTGCTCACAAAGGCCGAATTGTTGTGCATGGTGGGGGGGGGGGGGGGGGGGGGGGGGGTCTCCGATTTCGCATTGTGTTTGACCGAAACCAAAGGCCCCGCGTAGAAAATAGCACCTACCAGCAACGAAATGTTCAGTCAAGTGAGCAAAGGCACTTTCACTTTGTACAAATGCCAGTTTGCTCACCAAGTTTGCAAAAAAAAAAAGTAGTGATGCAACGCCGTTTTCTGGGTCATGTCATCATCTACCGAGGTTTCATAAGAAGTCGGGCCTATTTTGTCAACCAAAGTCATGGAAAAGTACACATGATGAAATGAAGGGATTAAGTCAATCCAACCCCCCCCCCCCCCCCAAAAAAATGTTTTCGAACCGAAACTGAAGAATTGACATCAACAAAGAATGGGGGGGGGGAAAAAGAAGGGAGGAAAAACTGCTTGGAGGAGACAAATCTGCTACATCCCCCTCGCTTTGTCCACCCGGGGGCAGTATCGGACGGACGTTTGGAGACGGCGTCCCGGAGGCTTCGCTCCTCTCTGGGCTTCTCAGTACGGCAGCGATATCGGTGCTTCTTTGCGCAGGATGAGGAGTTATTCTATCGCTTATATTTCTATTGGATATTTATTTCTATACTTTTTGTCTTTGACTTTCTCCCTTTCATCATTTTGCTGCTGTAAATTGGCAATTTCTCCATGGTGAGACAAATCAAGGTTTTCTTCTCTTATATGCCTGCGATCGACCGTCTACGCGTGTTTCACTCGCGTTCACGTGACTTTCCGGGGTCGCCGCCGCTCTCTGCCACTCAGATGCTAATCGTTAGCCGCGTGCCTCGGCGGTTTCCCTCTCGCGGGATAGTTTTCTCGTCGCCGAGGCTATGCGGACGCTTGAAATAGCAAATTGTTTTGTTTGATGTTTAGTTTGACGGTCACCTTCAGCGAAAAAGTGGCAATAAACGCCTTCGATTCTCACTTTTTTTTTTTTTGAAGAACATTTCGTGTTATTTGCTAACCTGCTGCTTGTTTTGGGTCACCTCAACAAGCTCGTACGAATGTGGCAATACTGCTTTTGAACAGCGTCCCCCACCCCCACAGTCACTAATTGCTGATGTTTTTCAGGTGAGTGCGTCCACGCCCTCTTTTGCCGCCCCGAGCGGCGTCGCCAGGACAAGAGAGGAGCCGAGCGAGAGCGAAAGTCTTGCGCCAGCTCATCACCTGCCGCTGACACTCGAGGTGAGTGCGCCTCTATTCAAAAAAACTTTTTTTGTGGGGGGGGGGGTTTAAGAATACCAACATCAGCGTTGTCGTGATTGTGGATTTATTATTGATTCTGTCATGTACGAGCCTAAAAGTGACTTGTGGAAAGCGACAACGGTGTCCGTGAAGAAGCGGAAACGGACACCTGCCTGCGTGTTTTGTGCCCTAAGCTTATTATATATCTGATCCGTGTTAAATACGGATGTGGAAAATGTGTCGGCTGCGAGTGTAATCGATGAGGGATCGTTATTCCATTGAGAATATGAAACTATTTGCGTGTGGGTCGATATTATTTTTTTCAATGTTTGCTTTTGTGTTGTTTCAAATTCGATTCATTTGTTCCTTGTTTTGCTGCGCTCTTTGGAAAGATATTTTTGTTTGTGTTCTTTATTTTCCTCCCATTCGATTCACCGGAGCTGTTGGCGCAACTTTTTTTTTTTTTTTTATGTGGTCAACACCTGTAATTGCTTCTTTGGGGCGTGGGTTACCACGGCAACACGTTCTCCCGATGCGGCGGACGAAGACGCGCGGTTTCCATGTGAACTCGGGCCACCGCGGCGGCTGCGTTTCTAGGGCGCCGAGCCTCAGAGGAGGCCGCCGCCGGCGAGCGCCCGCCGGGACCGTTTTTGCGAGCGCCGCGTCGCCAGACAAACGGCGAAAAACAAATCGGGCAAAAAAAAAAAAAAACAAAAGGGGGGGGTCGGGGATCGTCAGCGCTCTCCGTTCTTTTGTCTCCGTTCCCGCCCCAGAGCAAAAAAC